TTTGTTGCTGAGAATAAGGAAATTATTAAGAAGTAAAAAATGCATGAATTTGGTTTCCAGAGATTGGAGCGACTTGGATATGAAAAAACAAGAATTAGGAAAAAAAAGCATATGAATGATAAACTCTTTAATAATAGATGACACTAGAAAGAATATTTAGAAAACAATGTTTTGGATATTTTAAGAATCTGGCTGAAAGAACAGAGAAAAAGGATTGAAAAAAAAAAACAGAACAGAATTCATTCCAGTTACAAGTGAAGAAGAAAGAAAAAACAAAAACGAAAGCAAGTTGTTCTGTTGCTTGAAGCAACAAAAATGGCAGCCAGACCTGTGAAAAGTGGAATCATCACGAGTTGACATTTTGGTCATAAAAGTTGTCCAAATCTTTATAGAACCTTATCTTTGTCTCCTATCTTCTTGATTCCCATCCTAAAATTATAAAAAGCTTCCAAATGGATAAAAGACCTTTTTCTGAAAAGTTTTGTCACTGCTTGAAGGAAAATGTCTTCTTCACACAAAGACAGAAGTACATGGATTCAATTTTTAGACTCACCAAAAAGGGATTTCCATGTTTTTTTTGTTGAAATTAAATTATATATTGAAGAAATTTAATGCAAAAAGATAAGTGTTGTGACAAGTTATTTAAATAATATCATTAAAATATTAAATAGAATCTAATTTTGTCAAAACCTGTTGTAAAGAGAAATTGGCAAAATTTATTCAAACTTGCTTTTTATTTAAAAAAAAAAATTAAATAATTTCAGGCACCAGAATATTGGCAAAAATTGGATATATTTTTATATATGTATGTGTAAAGAATCATGTTTTTATCAATTTCTTAAGTACAAAAGAGTCTGATGTTCAAACACTTTTATTATACATTAAGCAAAGTGGCATAGGTGTTAAGTTTTTATAAGGATGTAATTTAGTGGTTTTTGTAAAATAGAAATAAATAAAATTTGAATTGTAATCATATTATTTTCTTCTTATTTTATGGAAATTTTCATAATTTTACATTTAAACAAAGCCATAATAATAACACAAAAGAAAAATCAGTAACAAAAATAATGAAAAAAAAAATAATGAAAGAAATCCCAACAACTTCAGACTATTATGTCTATTGCTACTACAAGTTGTCAACAAACAAGAAAAAAATAAGTGGAAAAGAAAAATCATCAAAATTAATCATGATAATCCTTCATCTTCAAAATTCTGACAACTTAAGACTTTTAAGTCATCTACTTTTATGAAGTGTAAACAAACAATAAAGTAAAAAGAAAAAAAATAATCAATAAATAGTAATGACAATTTTATTCATCTAAGAAATTCTAAGTACAAGATGATGCTGAAAATTAGTCAATGCAACCAAAATAGATTCTAATATTTGACCACTTGGTGAGATTTTGGGAAATGGTTTAGATTGTTAACTTTATAGCAACCTCGTGTTACTAATACTACTAGTAGGTGAGAATGAGCAATAACAACAAAAATAAAATCTTATAAAAAATAACAATGCTTCATCTCAGAAATTCTGATATCTTAAGATTATTATTTCTATTACTTCTGAGATATATAAATAAGTTATAAGAATAGGATGAAAAGAAAACTTAGTCACACATGAACAATGTCAATATGTTACTTTATAAATCAAAAATATTCCAGGAAAGAAAAGCTGAATGAAGATTGATTTTTAATTTTTATTTTGTTGTTCTTTATAATAAAAATATCAGATGATTGAAAAAGTTTGTGTCCAATTCTCATTGTTAATATAAAATGAGCACAGATTGGCACCAGTGCTTGTTTCTGGTGTGTTCTAGATTGAAACCTTACTTCATCCTGTCATAAGTCAAACAGTATCAAATGTTGATCTTTTGTCTGCAAATGAATGCCTTAAAGAAGGTGGATGAAAACATACATTTTCGCTATATTATTCTCTATGAATTTTGGAAAAAAGTAAGTGTCAGAATTGCAACAAAAAACATTTGGAAGTTTATTTGGATAATTCTCCAGCACTTCATGCAGTATCTGTCTATATTTCTGAGATGATTTATTATGTACACTATTTACATTATTCGGATTATTGTCCTCATCATTGTTGCCATATTTGTCACAACGTGTCGGCTATTGTATGCTCCGGCCTTCTTCAGTTGTTTGGAATGTCAAACTGAACCCTTTATTTTACTCACTGGGATTGTCTGTTCTGGTTCCACATGCCATGTTTAACGGATGTCAGTTATCAGTTATCTACTGTTAATTTCCCTCTGAAAGTTCTCCACTGCCTTAACCAGGTATTGAATCCACATTCTTTGGGTTCTGTCACTGGATCTAACCAACGCCTTTATCCACTATGCCATGTGACCTTGAGGAAGAAGGCCGGAGTGTACAATGGCCGAAATGTTGTAATGAATATGATGACAAAGATGAGGACAATAGTCCAAATAATGTAAATGGTGTACTTCAGACAGTATTGGCAGATTTTGTCAGGGTGATTTTGTCAGGGTGATTTTGTCAGGGTGATTTTAACCTAACTGACCAACTATGTTCTGGGTTACCTTCTGACATTAATGAAGATGTTCCATAAAAAGGAACCATTCTTGGACAGAATTGTCATAGGCAATAATGTTTAATGCAAACAGACCTGGAAACAAGCTTGTGAACATGCAAAATCCATAGCTGAAGTGGCCTTACATCCAATGAAGGTTTTATTTTGCCCATTTCATGGGATTGCAAAAGGGATCAGTTTTAGCTTCTTCAAGCTGATGAAACAATAATGGCAAAGAACTTACCAATCTCAATGTGGCTATTCAAGATAATTGATTCATTTTAGCAAATTCAAATGGTGTTATTTTCTACTATGGCAAAACAAGACTGCATGTTGTAAAACAGACCTTTCAGAAGCTTAACAGGAAATGGTAACCCACCCTCCAGCACCCACCATAGTCTCCTGACTTAGCTCCTTCAGATTTCCATTTGTTCTAGTTTCTATAGAACAATTTAAATGACAAAAAAATTTGACACTGTTAAGTCAGTCAAAAAGTACCTCACAACCTTCTTCCAATAAAAGTTACTATGAAAATGGCATCAATAAGCTTGTAGAACGATGGGTTATTTAATGTCAAAATCTAAATATTCTGAACTCAATTTTATGGCTTCAGCTAAATATATTTTCAACACAATTGTATGCCTTCAACTACAAATAAAATGTATTGCTGGTAATTTTATTATAAATATATATTTTTATAATTTCATAGTGTTTTTTTTTTTGATTGACGGTTCACTATTGGTCTATAGCTGGGAATCTAACAGGTGCTACCACTCCGCTTCAGGGGTGACCTGGGAACAAAAGCAATTAAGAGGTGGTTCTACTCCTGATCAGAAGCTTTGTTGCCAGGTGCAGTTTATCATCATACCCAGGAATAAGAAAATATGGGAGACAGTTGTTAAAAACAATGGAAACTATGTCTTTGAGTATGTAAAATGTTTTTAATTTTCTAATCAGGCACAAACTTTTGCAATGATCTAATAACTTTAATCTAATCTATTACTAAAAACTATTTCAAAATATGTTTACTGGGGATTGACATTGAAGCATAGAATTAAAAAAAAGTGAAGAAATTTAAGAAAATGAGAATGTCATCACTTAAAACAAGAATATACAAATTTAAAAATAATTTAATGTAATCTATATATAAAATTCTGTGATTTCCGTTAGTCCATCCATCCAAAAACAGTTTAATGATGAAGTACTTATTTAATAATAATTGCTTTTTTCATATCACTTCTTTAATTATATATATATATATATATATATATATATATATATATTATGAAAAGTAATATAAATATAAATAAATATATATATATGTATAATTATTTATATATTATATATCTGTGTATTTAAAATCAGAGATAGAGCTAACATATTTGGTTGGATAGATGTGAGTTTGTGACCCTGGGTTTCACGCTTTAGCGATCGTCAGACAAACTGATTACTGTTTTAAAAATATGGGTTTATGTAGATTGCGTGTATTGGTGTTATTGTGGAAGTGTTGGGGAGATTTCGTCGTTTTGTCATTCATCGTACTAACGCAAACATCGATGTATGCAGACACATATACATATACATATACATACTTGGTCGTCCGTCAGGACTCATACATATATAAACATATGTAGACAGTTTCGGCTATGACACATGTATGTATACGGGTGGTGTAATGTCTATACATACGCATTTGTATGTTGAAATGTTTTTAAACATTGGAAATGTGGCGGAAATGTCTCGTTATTGTCTCGTGAATGTATCCATGTCATATTATGAAATTTTTTTTTTTTTTTTTTTCGTTGAAAAATATTTTCTCGCATGTATGTATATATGTGTGGTGGGGTTTGTGTAAAATTATGATAGGTAAAAATTATTATTAAATTATTTATATTTATTTTTAAATTTTGAAAAAAATGGGGTTTATTTGTTATATTTAAAGCTGGTTATTTGTTTGTTTTTTTTTAGTGACTGTGTATATGTAACAGGTAAAAAATTGTAATCCTTATTGTTTAATTTATATGGTGATGTTTAATTTAATAACGGGTTTATATGATATGATGTGATAGTAATGTTTCAAAGGATTGGAGACAATGCTATTTAGTTTTAGCTAATAGTTATTGTAAACTGGAAGAAATTGCAGATTGGTAGAAATGATTAGTAACGGTGGTGGGAGAATGATAAAACCATGAATGTAGTTATAGTGGTGGTAGCTTGAACTAAAAAGTGGTTGTTGGTGTTTTATTTTTTGTTTTATTTTGTTATATGTATTAATTTATTTTGGTATAAATCCTGATAATAGGTATTCTATGTAAAATTATGGTAGTTGAAAATTGCTATAATTTTTAATTACAAAAATTATTATTATTATATTAAAGCTGCCTGGTAATAGGTGTTTGTTCTCATGGTTACATATGGAAATTATATCTGATCATATTGTTTTAAAGTATTAAATATG